GGTGTCTCTAGGGACATATTCTCATGGCTCTTGGCAAGAAAAGAAAAAAGAACCCAAGAAGAACAGGATTGGACTGACTTAAAGGACACAGCTGTTCCTGACCCATCACTGTGGCCGGCTGCATGGGGTGTACTGAATCGCTTAGCCAGGATAGCAAGTGGGCACCCACCCACCCCCCTTAATAAGAAAGAACAATTCTTCAGTGGAAGGGGAGCTATGTTATTACTGGAAGCAGGGCAAGGATCTGGGTAGACAAAAACAATGGTTTTTCACATGACAGACATGGTTTCACATGGCTGATGATGAAGAGATTTTTTGTATAGAGAACTTTACAATTTATAAAACACTTTCATATATACCGTGTCTGTTGGTTCCCACAGAAATCCCATGAAATTTGGTTCTTGTCTCCATTTCACAGGCAAGAAAACGAGCTCAGAACCCTGCAGCCAGCATGTGCTGTTGTGACGATTATGCACTTAATTAAGATTTAAGATAATTTAAAAGGATTCTTCGAAACTTCAAGTGGGATTTTCACATTGTCACCCTGTAGACAAATGGGCTCCATTGTGTTTTAATATTTCTGAAAAATGTTTGTGTAATAGAACAGTATTTCTTTTAAAGTTCATTCCTAAGTAGGTGCAAATGACTTGAAAGATCTACCCATAACCTTCCTTTCATTTCCTTTGCCAAAATTTCCTATTTTTCCTTCTACATTCCCCCAATGTCTTGATCTTCCCTGCTCACTGACAAAACCTAACGGGACTGAGGAGCATGCGTTAACCAGCCCAATTTTTTCTTCTATATCACTCAATGCCTCTATGAGTGTATAATGTGACTGTCTCTGTTTAGAGTGATTCAGTCTTGGTGGCACCAGTTCTATGTGTGAGCTCGTTACTTTGGATTCTTGTGATGTTTCCTTAAACATATCATTTATTTGTAGGCTTAAGGCATATCTGGAAGAATAGAGATGAGAAAGACTTGTATTTAGATAAATTATGATTCTAACATGGGTTACCACTCGCTAATGTCCAAGATTAGAGGTGCCAGGAAAACAGACTCACTCCGAGTGATACGGAGCAGGACATTTATTCTGGGTACAGAACCTACTACTTCCGTGCCTGGTGGTCCTGACCTCTGTCTCGCTGTCATCTTTTTTTTTTTTTTAATGTGTATTTATTTTTGAGAGAGAGAGACAGAGCATGAGCATGAGCAGGGGAAGGGCAGAGAGAGACAGAGACACAGAATCCAAAGCAGACTCCAGGCTCCGAGCTGTCAGCACAGAGCCTGACGCGGGGCCCAAACCCACGAGCCGTGAGATCATGACCTGAGCTCAAGTCGGACGCTTAACTGGCTGAGCCACCCAGGTGCCCCTCTCGCTGTCATCCTTTCCATGTGTCTGTGGAAATCCTGGATGACCTCCGTACCTACATCAGAGATTCATTCTACACCTTCAGTTTCTTTCCATGTTTTCCTTCACTCTCTCTGAGCCACTTGCTCTGCAGACATTACGCTCACCAGCCCGAGTTTTGAAATCTCAGAAGTGTTTTTCTTTCTGCCCATTACCTCTTATTCTTTCTCCTCAGTTACTCAGGTATTCCACCAGGTCCTCATCCCACTGAGATTCTCATGCTTTGTCCTACTCCGTCTTCTCTTTTCCTCACACACTCATATTCTCACTTCTTTTCTCACACAGCTTAGAGCCTAGAGACTACCAACGTAACTACTCCCTTATAAGCCTTGTTAAGTCCCACACCCCTCTCTCTTCCTTTCTCATCGTTGCCTTGAAATATCCCCACTCAGTTTAAACCCAAGTATCTGTTTACCCTGTGCCCTCCCCCAAGCCAAACCCTGGAGAGAGAGATCGCAGGATAGAAGCCACAGTCGTTTTGTAACCTCGTCTCAGTAGTTCCATCATGTTTGCTGTATTCTATTAAGTGCAAATCAGTAAGTCCAGTCTATTGTCAAGGGGAAGAAACTGCATAAGGGCATGATACCAAGAGGCAAGGCTCGCTGGAGCATTAGAGACTGCCTACCACATCCAAACTGCCGGTGACCCATATCTTACCAATGCCAATGGGCAATTTTCTGCTCTCGGCCCTCTCATGGGCATTGGTACAGTTGATTACCTCTTCTGTGAAACACTGAGTGTCTAGGTTTCTTAGACAGCATATTGGTTTGATTTCCTCATTTAGGACTTATTCTCTATCGACCTCTAAACATTAGAATGCTGAAGGTTCTGTCCTTGGCCGCCTTATTTTGATATCTACATTCTTTGGTGATCTCATCCTACCCCATAGCTTTTAATAGCATCGAGGTGCTGACAAGTCTCAAATCTGTGGCTCTCCAGTACCTTTCTTATTAGCTCCAGAATCATATATCCAATTGCTTACTCTACGTCTATTTCCACTTAGATGTCTGATAAGCATCTCAAACTTCACATATCTAAAGAAGAACTATCGATTTCTCCCTACTCTCCCCTCCTCCCCCATCTCCTACCTCAGTATCTCCCACTGCTCAAGTAAACACCTTTGATTTCTGCTGGTGCTTGACCTTGATGACAGTTGTTACAACTGTCAGGGAATGGGAGTGCTATTCAAGTGTTAGAGATTTGTGGAGCATGAGCTTTGGAAAGACAAAGAACATCACTATAATAGCAACTGTTTGTAATAACACTACTGGGTACCTGGCATTATTCTGGGTGAATTAAATTTATTTATTCTTTTGATTCAGTCCTCCCAACAATTATAAAAATAGGTATTGTGGCGCCTGGGTAGCTTAGCTGGTTGAGCGTCCAAATCTTGATTTCAGCTCAAGTCATGGTCCCAGGGTCATGGGATTGAGCTCTGTGTCAAGCTCCTCACTAAGTTTGGAGGCTGCTTAAGATTCTTTCTCTCTCTCCCTGTACTCCTCTCCCCCTCTCATGCTCTCTCTCTCTCTAAAAAAAAATATAGGCATTATTATCCTTGTTTTGTAGGAAAGTGAGTCTCAGAGGGTTTCAGGTTGTATTTGATTAAGGTCTCATTGTTGGTAGCAGTTAGGATTAAGTTCAACTGCGAGTGACAGGAAGCCAGTAGTGGCTAAAACATGTAAGCTTTGTTTTTCCTCTCACAGGCCACATGGGGCTGGTACTGTGACTTCATATCCATCGGACTGTGGCTCATGTTGTTTTCTATCCTCCTCACAAGGTTTCCATCTGATGATGGAACTAAGGTCATTGCTCTAGTTTCAGCTTTCATGTCCACCTACCGACCAACAAAAAGAAAAATAGAGAGGGGGGAGAAATCCCTTCTCTTAAGGCCACTTCTTGAAAGTTACACTACTTGTCTTAGACCACCAGGCTGTTATAGCAACTTAACCATAAACTGGGTGGCTTATAAACAACAGAAGTTTATTTCTCACAGCTTTGAGGGCTGGGAAGGATAAGGACAAGGTGCCAGCAAATGTGATGTCTGGTGAGAGCCCTCTTCCTGGTTTATAGACAGCTGTGTCCTTACATGGCAGAAGAGGCAAAGGGTGCTCTCTAGGGTCTCTTTTATAAGAGCACTACTCCCATTCAAGAGGGCTTCACCTTCAGGAAAGAATCACCTCCCAAAGACCTCCTCCTCATCCACATAGGGGGTTGGGATTTTAACATGTGAATTTTGTGGTTCCATCTGTATTCGATCTATAGCACTAATTCTATTTGCAACCATTGACTGGAACTTCATTTCAAGGGCTTACCCAGCTACAAGGAAGACCGAAAACACAGTCGCCACGATAGGGCTGCAAGCCCAAGGCTATGGGGTTCTTGAGATCACAATCTCTGTCAACCCCCACTTTGCCTCCTGAGTACCTTAGCAGCTGAGGGTTCCAAAGACAGCTTTACTGTTATGTCCTGTGGCAGCCCGTGTGCCTCTTTAACTCAGCCTCTGTCGCATATACTGCAGGTGACGTCTTAGTTATTTCCTCAGCTTCTTGCTTCCTCAGCATTTTGAATACTTCTTTCTTTTTTTTTTTAAAGTAAGCTCTACGCCCAATGTGGGGCTTCAACTTACAACCCCAAGATCGAGTCACATGCTCTACCAACTAAGCCAGCCAGGCACCCCTTGAATACTTTTATAACTTCACCCCAAATGTTATAATGACTTGTTTTTGGTTTTCTTGAATCAAACACTGGCTAATTGGTAATGTTTATTACATGAATAACTCACTTAACAAACAACATAGTTTTATGTGTCTCTAGCACATTGTCTGGCCTTTTACAGATATCCAAAAAAACCCATGTTTATTGAATGGATGGATGGATGGATGGATGGAAAATCAACACTTTCCTAATTGAACACTTTTTTTCTGATTTTAGATAAGCAGTCTACATTCTCAGCTAATCCCTTTGCTTTCAGGGTTGGAAGAAGAGAGAGAAAAGAGAACAACAACAACAACAACAACAACAACAACACACAGGAAAAGGGAAAAGGAGATGAGGTGTATTTATACAAGTTCTCCGGTCTCCTACTTCCTTCTCTCACTTTAGTATTGATGCCACAGTTGTGAATTTTGCTTTTCAAATGGACCTTGATAATACTTTCTGGGAAATGACTTGAGTATGCCATGTTCAAGACCAATGACCAATGTATTAATGCTTCAAGATTTAGGAATATTCAGGGAAGTTGCAACTAACTTTGTTCAGTGAGAGCATACACACTTTCTCTTTGTAACATCTTCATTGAAAACCCACATAAATTTGTATACTGCGAAACCCTAAAGATGAAATAATTTTTTTAAAATTTCCTATGAGGTAGTACTGGTAAATTTACAGTTATTTCAACCCCATGAAGAAGTAGACATCATCACATTCCTCATGAAAAGCTCCAGCAAGAGCCATTGGCATGGTTTGAATATAAACATCTAGCAGCTAAATGACTTTATCAAGCTACAATCCCTGTGCTCAGCAATTTAGAGGAAATCAGCAGCTTACCCAAAGTTTTTTTTTTTTTCTTTTTGCTGAGCAATTGGGGGCCAAAAATAAAACACTATTACATCAAACTGCAGACAAACAAAAATCTGAATACATTCGCTATCTTCTCAGGGCATTTCTGTACCTAATGAGCACAGCTGAGCCCAAAGGCGTCAAGATGTTTCTTGCCATTAGGCAATGGGGTGGAGGATTATCCAATAATTCCTGGCGGGCATTGTCGGTTCTTCTGGGTAAAATAGGAAGAAGGTCAAAAGAGGATGCAAATGTTTTTTAATCAATGGAAGAGAGAAGTGATACATTCCTCTGACCTTTTCGATTGCTGGGAAGATATATTATCTGCATTAATTAGCATGTTGAAGAATTCCTTCTGGATTGCCAAGTGCCTTCCTGTGAGTAGTGGGGAATATGTTTGTAACATGATGTACAGCAATCTGTCATAAAGAGCCAATTTTTTGGACTTTGTCTCTGAGTACACGTGAAATGTGAAATAGCTTTGCCAGTTATGTTGCATTAGTCTTTTTAATTGGAGGAAAAGGTTAACATTTGTGTAACGACATCGGTGCACAGGGCTTAGGTTTTGAAATGCCAGTTTGCTTAGGATACTGGGTGTTGTTAAAAGGAAATGCTTTGGGAGGTAATATAAATCATTATCATCTCTAGCATAGTTATCACTTGTTGAATGCTAAACAAATTATTTCATTTAATTCTTGGAGGGAAGTACGGCTGGCCTCATCACCATTTTTTGTTTTTGTTTTGTTTTGTTTTGTTTGTTTTAGAGAGAGTGTGTGAGCAGAGGAGAGGAGCGGGGGGGGGGGGGGGGGGAGAGAGAGAGAGAGAGAGAGAGAGAGAGAGAGAGAGAATCTTAAGCAGTCTCCACACTCAGCATGGAGCCGCCCTCGATCCCATGATCCTGAGACCATGACCTGAGCTGAAATTAAGAATCAGACACTCAACGGACTGAACCCCCCAGGTGTCCCAGTATCATCACCATTTAACAGATAATGAAAATGAAGGATTGGAGAGATTGGGTAATGTGCCTCTAAATCACAAAAGATGGTTAAGTCAGGATTTGAACCTAGGTCAGTCTGACTCCCAGAGCCAATATACTATACCACACTTCAGTACTCCCTCAGCTTTTTTTCTTCTAACTGGGTGCTATTGTGAGGGTTACTTAGCTTTTCTCTGCCTCACTTTCCTTGTCTGTAGAAGGGAACAAGAATAATTTTGTGTTATTGGCATTATGAGGATTGAATTATATAGTGGATATAAGGGGTGCCTGGATGGCTCAGTTGGTTAAGTGGCTGTCTTCGGCTCAGGTTATGACCTCACAGTTCATGAGTTCGAGCCCTGCCTCGGGCTCTGTGCTGACAGCTCAGAGCCTGGAGCTTGCTTCAGACTCCGTGTCTCCCTCTCTCTCTGCCCCTCCCCCACTCACGCTCTGTCTCTCTCTCAAAAATAAACATTAAAAAAATAATACATAGTGGATATAAAACTTTCAGCAAAATGCCTTATTACACATACCATGCTATTATTATTCTCTTAAATTGTCACATTCAGGGGTTGGGAAGAATATAATTATCACCCCTCTTCTCATTTGGTGAGGAGGAGGAATAACTGAGTAAATGTTATTTATTGCCAACAGAGCTCACATCCACGGTCCTAGAATGCCAGAACTTGGAAGACTCCATGTTAAGCCTTCTTTGTAATTACTGCTGAGGAGACTGAGACCCAAGGAGCCAAGTCATGTTTGGGGTCCGAGACTGGGAGAACCATGACCTCGGTGAAACCATTTTGCAAAGCCACTGGTGAGCCTCTCCATGTGAGCAGAATGAACTCTTAGCTACCCTTCTGTTTGTATTTCTTTGTTTGAATTTTCCATCATGTGAACAATTAGTTATCAGTCAAAATATGCTATGTCTAACATCTTTCTTTCCATTTCTAAATGTAAAAAATGAAACTTCTCCTTTCTGAAAGCCTAAAAATCTGTAACCGGTGAAAACTTAACACTTTTTTTCTGAAGTACATTAAAAGAAGCATAGTACAGAATACTTTTAAAAACCAATTTGAGAGAGCAGACCCAGAGTAACCACAACATTATTTTGATATATATTATTTAAAGCTATGTGTTTTATAAAGGTATTCACTTTTACCTTGTAAGTCCTGTAAGTAAGTATTAAAAACAAAAATTCTCCGGGCACCTGGGTGGCTTAGCCAGTTAAGCGTCTGACTTCGGCTCAGGTCATGATCTCGCAGTTCACGAGTCTGAGCCCCACGTTGGGCTCTGTGCTGACAGCTCAGAGCCTGGAACCTGCTTCAGATTCTCTGTATCTCTCTCTCTGCCCCTTCCTTGCTCGCACTCTCTCTCTCTCTCAAAAAAAAAAATTAAAAAATTATATTTGAATAAAAAAAAGCAAGAATTCGCAGTTAAAATGGGCAACAAACACATGTCCTCATTACATTTGATTTCTAAACATTGGTCACAAGATGGAAAGGGCCTGAGATTTGAGTCAATTATGTTCTCAACACTATAAAACATTCTCATTTTATCACCACCAAGCCCAGGAGGGGAATATAATTTTGAAATGAGACAATGAAGTCTCAGAGGGGTTTAGTAATTAATTTACTGAACTTTATAGAGCTACAAGGGGCAAAGCTGAAATTAGAACCCGAGTCTTTATGATCCCTGACGCTCAATGTTTTTCAAGTCTAGGTTGCTTTGAACAAAGTTTTATCACACGTGTTATTACAGTCCGGTCAGGAAAAGAGGAACTACGTATTTTGGAGATCGTGACTTGAGTCAAGGACTTACAGCTTGCGTGACTGTGGGCAGTTGTAACAGGAAGGCCTGGTGGGAGGTGGGGGGCTTGGGGCGTGGGTATCACAGGGTCAGAGAACGATCTCTAGGCACTTTCTCTGAAGCACGGCTACGCGTGCCGAAAGTTAGAGTTGGCGGGAGAATCTAAGTGGTGTGGTGCCTCTGGTTGCCAGAGTGGGATGGCAGAGAAGAAGCTCGTGGAAGGGTCTGTGGAAGCTGCCACCACCAAGTCTGCAGCCGGGCACGTGGTGCTCATCTTACACACAGCCCGGGGCGTGTGTGATAGCACGCTTCTGGGAGAAGGCGCGAACTCAGCAGCTGAAGAACAGGAGCCCTCGTGATCTCTGGCGTTGGATCTTGTCAGCCCCATCCCGCACTGCTGCCTTTCCACCTTCTCCTTCAGCACTTAAGACGGTCTTTGTCTGGTATGTTGTGTGTAAGGATCCAAAGAGATTAAGGATGGGACAGCGTCGAGGGCGGTGCCCGGCCCCAAACAGACGATCAGTTACCACTCTGCTTCTAGGTCGCAAACAACAGAACCTCCTTCAGCCGGTTGAAGCAGAGGATAAGTTTATTCCAGGTTGTTAGGTAGCTCAGAGAATATCCGGCAGGGTTAGGGCAGAAGCAACATCAAACCACCCATGGGTCTGTCCCGGAAGCGGCCCTGTTGCAGCCTTTTCTAGGCACAGACACTGTAACAGGCACACTGATGTCGGGTCCTGGATTCCAGAGTTGCCGCCACGGTTTTCCCAGAAACAGAGGCCTCTGGTATTAGCCAGTATATGTTTCACGCTCCTGTATTCTCACCCTGCTTTCTTCCAAACAAAAGTTTTTAAGTTTATTTGTTTATTTTGGGAAAGACCGAGAGAGCAAGTGGGGGAGAGATGGAGAGAGAGAGAGAGAGAGAGAGAGAGAAAGAGAGAAACCCAAGGAGGGTTTCTCTCCCAGCACTGACAGTGCAGAGCCCAATGTGGGGCTTGGACTCACAAACTGTGAGGTCATGACCTGAACAGAAACTAAGAGTTGGCTGCTTAACCCACTGAGCCACCCAGGCACCCCTCCCCCAGTTTCTTCTAAATCGAATCTCACGTGGGTGTGTCTGACCAGCAGAGCCTAGAACCCACACCTATGCCCTTATTGCAAGGAAAGCAAGGGAGAGAAAGGGAAAATTTGTCTAAGACTGATTCTCTTGGCAGGTTGCCTTCTTGACCGTGAGTGCCTTCCCTGAAAATTTGCTGGGAACTGAATATAGCCCAGTGGCTTAAGGCAGTCAATTCTGGTCAACCTTGAGGCTCAGACCCCAGCATTCTGATCACGCAGTAGAAGGACTGCTACCTCTGCGGTCTTGAATGGTGCTTGGTTGTTGGGGTTCAATCAATAGTTGACTACGTCATACAACTTGATCTCCAGCTTCTACTTTGTACTAGAAGAAGGCCTGATGTTCCCCAAAGCCATGAAAGGTCAGGGTAGGGTGAGAGCCAGTTTTCTGCCGTGCCATATTACTATGGTACCCTGACCCCTAATTACCCGATGAGAGGGGCCAATGCCTCTCTTAATCATGTAGCTCGTAAGCCTCGTGGCCCAAGATTAAGGTCACTCTCGGGGATTCTGCTGCCTGGCCTCATTAGATCTCTGTGCGATGCCTTAGAACTGCTAAAAAACAATCTGAGGTATATTAAACATGTTTGAGAGTTCATTTGAGCAAAAATTTACTTGAATTGGGTGGTACCAAGTCAGAAGTGAATAGGAGTGCTCTGCCCACAGGAGCCAGGGGAAAAACTTAATAGAGAAAGTGTGGAAATTATTTGATTGGCTATAGCTTAAAGCCTAATTGGCTGTTTGTGATTGGCTGTCTTTAGTGTTTTGATTTCATAACCTTGTGGCATTTGTAAAGGTAAGATTTAGATTCTGCTTGGCTTATATTGGCCACCAAGGTGTTAGAGCCACTTTCCTCTAATGGCTCTCTTGCTTAATGAGTTTAACAGGATGCAGCGGGTAATAGGGACCAGTGTACCAGCTACTGCTTCTGTTTTTGTGAGGTCCATTCACTTACTCATTAGGTTAGTCCTTGTGTATGTATGTTGACTGGAATTTTCCCTCTTTGTACAAGTGCAACCATCTGGTTTCCACCTTTGGAAGGGTAGGACTCTTAATATGGAAAATCACCCAAATATAGGAAAGGTGCTCAGAGATGCTGGGTGGCCACAAAGCTTGACAGGTACCTATTACCCTAATAAGTGCTAATTCATAATTAATTCCTCTTCCGTCTTCCTTGCTGGTATATTCCTGGTGGACTCCATTACTTTAAGAGAGTAGATTTTGACATCAGGCATGCCCGTGCAGGCTTGGGTCCCAGTTCTGCTACTGCTAAAGCCATGTGGCCTTGGGAAGTTAAGATGATATCTTATGAGTCTCAGTCGTCCATTTGTGAAGTAAAGCCTATTAGGAAGGCTTCTCTCAAAGGGCAATTGTTACGATTAAATGAAAGTATGCAAAAATCTTACCAATATGTCAAGCACACAAGAGACATATGAGAAATGCCAGCAATTCATCAAGGAAAGGAGTTCTGTTCTGCCCTTGATTTTTTAGGACTCAACCCGATGCCAGTCCATTTTATTATCTTGCTAACATTACTTAGTTTGCTAACAAACAAACAGATAGACAAATCGCTAACAAAAACTTAGTTCCAGTGACAATTCTGGGAAATCTACTCTTCACCAAAAGAAGGGTAGGGAAGAGAGAAAGGACTGGAAAAATATGTAAGGCTCATGGAGGTTCACTCCTATGTATCACAGGTAGACAACAAGCTTGCTCAATTTGAAATTCCAAAAGTGCGAGGCAGCATGGTGCCGGGGAAAAGTGGGCCTGGGGGTCACAATCCGTTGTTGGATTCCAACATTCCTTTATACTACCTGTGGGACCTTTGGCACTGACACTTGAGATCCACTTACTTGTTCCTTCAGCCAGTCACACAGTCGACAAATGCTTATTGATTCTGTACTGTATGCCAGACTGTGGACCAGTGTGAACAGTACAGAAACTTTGGTGAGCGAGACAGACATGGTGGCAAATACTCCTGATCCACTGTGAATGGTGTCATAATAGAGGTGCTTACAAGATATAGCAGTGGCACATAATGGAGAACTTGAGTCTTCCTGGGCGCAGGGAAGGACTCAGAGAAGGCTGTCCCGAGTAGGCAGCATTATAGCTGGGTTTTAAAAACTGAGTAGGAGGGGCGCCTGGGTGGCTCCGTTGGTTGGGTGACCAACTTCAGCTCAGGTCATGATCTCGCAGTTTGTGAGTTCAAGCCCTGCGTCGGGCTCTGCGCTGACAGCTCGGAGCCTGGAGCCTGCTTCGGATTCTGTGTCTCCTCCTCTCTCTGCCCCTCTCCTGCTCACATTCTGTGTGTCTCTCTGTCTCTCAATAATAAATAAACATTTAAAAATTTTTAAAAAATAAAATAAAATAAATAAAAACTGAGTAGGAATTTTCAAAGCAGACAGTGGGGAAAGGACATTCCAGACAAGGAGTAAAGACTTTCCCCTTACAACAGAATAATCTTGACCTTACAGAAATCAGAGGGCCTAGAAAATCAATAATCAGATATTTTTTAATGGGTAAAGCGTTTAACAATGAAAAGCTCCTTGTCATCACCAACAATGACATCCCGGGTACCACCAGAGCTGTGAAGCATCAGTTCACAGGATCTGGCCCGGGCAGAACAGGTGCACTCTCTATTGAATGAAGGCTCACACTGGAAGAGGATATTGATTGGGTCACTTGCCCTGGTCTCTGGACCTGTCACATTCCTATTGTAGATATCATAATATCAGTCAACATTATAGTGGAGAGCTGGGTCTCTAGAACGGGCTAGATTCCTAAGACAGGACAAGAATATGAGGTAAGGTAATCACTCTATTACAATTAAGTCAGAAGGGAAGGAGGAACAGAAATGGGTTATGTGAATTAGCATTTATGAGATGTATGAATATAGTTTTAACTTATCTGATATAGTAAGCCAATATAGTTTTATTTCCTCCCTAAATCATGTTCCCTTACAACTTTTGCCTCCATGGCTAAGCCTTAAGGCTCACTGCTTCAGGAAAAGAGAGAACCAATTCTACCTAGGAAAAAGAGCCAGTGAGCCTCAGAGTCTATACCAATATATGATTCCTGTTGCATTTAAGTTTCAGAAGCCTTGATCTAGAAGACATTGTGTGAATCCAAGGGCTC